CGATTGACAATCAGTGCTAATCTGTTTAGTTCTGCTTGGCACGCTTAGGATCTGTCACATATGGGAGTAATATCGTCTGCCTACTCCAGTTCAAGAAGTCGATTGTATGGAAGCCACTCTACGCCTTCCAACTCGTGTCCAATGAATGCAGTTTGCTTAACTTCGTCAATGGTGAACTTAAAAAGGAATGGTAACAGCTGGAAACCTAGTCCCACACTGTTGGAAATATGGAAGAGCCGCGACAGTTCGTCATAAGCTTTTACTGTACCCCAACTATGCGCGTACAACCCTCTGATAATATTTTCTTTTTTGTTGTGCGCATCAGTCCTGAGCAGACAGTCCAAAAGTGCGCATTGATCAACCGGATCAAAGGCACCTTTGATGTCGAGGTACACGACTACGGTGGGTGGCTAATTATATGGCGGTGCTCCAACAATTGATGTCATGTGAGGGTGTGGTCAATATGCCATCGATTTCGACGAAACTGGATTTGTTCCTCACGGGTCTGACTTTCATGAGTGCCTGCCAGTTGGAAAGAGAACAACACTTCCCTATATCAACGGTATCTCTGAAATGGCAGCGAGGCTTTTATTGCCTTTTGGAGTCAAAGTCGCACACCAGCCAACGGAAACCATTCGCAGTCAACTCTTCAAGGTGAAAGGTAAACTTAGCAAAGAAGAAGAAACTGGTGTGATTTAAAAGATCTGCTGCCGGAACTGCGACAAGTACTACGTGGGACAGACTGGGAGAACGTTTGGCACAAGGCTACACGAACACAGCCTAGCCATACGTCGCCACGATCAGAACTCCCTGATGTCAGTGCACATGGATGCTGAGAACCATCAATTCGAAAGGGCTAAAAGCCGGCAAGCACGTGAGTTCATTGAAGCCTGGCATTCAAAGCAGAACTCGACCAATAAGCACTTGGACGTTGAAGTCGCTTACGAGGCACTGCGAATCAGGCCCCTGAAACCGCACTGATGATGTTGCCTAGTCAGGCAACCAAACGTCTGCACAATAATCACTCAGCTCGGAGAACCGCTCAAAATCCGCATTCACATCCCAAGCTACGGATATTCTCATTTATTTCAAAACAGTTTGATATAATTGCATTTCAATGTGTTCGGCCCAACGTTTCAAGCGTTTTGACAAGCTGTGGATTGGCTATCTACTCTTATCGCATATAGTCTCGCTGACACCAGGTCTCCTTCTCTTTTCGGAGTGACAACCAAGTGAAGCGGCTGTTTCCATCTCGGTTAGACTGTCAGGCTTCGCGGTTTCTCTTCAGTCTAGCACATCGTTTTTCTCTGTCTTTGCGAATCTTTCTGTGTTCGCTCCCAGTCAGAATGTGTCGGTAACCATCCAGAATTTTCAGATAAACCCAATATTAGTTCTAAACTCAGATTTGCCACATAAAACATGTCTGCTGCTAATAGCATCGAACGTAAATGGAATCAGTGATTCTCACCTGTGTTCGTTGAACACTTACTCGCCTGTGATTCCAGCGTAGTTTGATATACATTCAGAACCCCTGGCTTCGCCATTTGCATGATTGCGCTCACGGAGTCGCCGTTGGCGTCCACCGAGGCGAACTATGAGACCGACACATACGAATGCATGGTCGCTGGATAATGGGTTAGACGTATTTTGGTACCCAGCGACCCTACTGTTTCCTACTGATTGATCAACTCCAGAAGTTTGTTTCCACCATTCATCTCTTTAGACTGGGGTCATTCACTCGTTGTTGGCTGCAGCACATTGGAAGATCTGTTCCACGTATTCATCTGACCTCCTACGCACTCCTTGCTCCCGTCATGAATCACATTTGCAAGGATTCATGTGCAGTCGACACTCTATAGCAATTTATGGGTTTGAACCCCCGATCCGATCGCTTTTCTCCGTCACAGGAAGACATTCCTCCTTCATTGGTTTAATACATGGGGCTGAAGTTGCCCGTCACATATGGAAGCGTCCACACTGCCTTTCTTGGAGTCTCTGCGCGGAATTTTTTCACTCAACTGGACTATACTCGGGACGATATTTTTCCCCACTCTAAACTTCGCTTAGCCACTTTCCCTTGAATTATACAGTCACCATGTTCCGTTACTTGGCTACTTTTGACCACCAGCTGCGACTGCGACCCTAGTTGTAGTATGGCTTCCGTGTTTGTACCGTACACAATGGATTTCCATATGCTTTCTGGTTGTCACTTCTGCATGCTATCATGGTCTTTGCTTTTTTCATTGTTATCGTTGTAGTTTTGGAACTCATATTTGACTTTTTTGATTTCATCTTCAATTCATCTTTGTCATTGGACATAGAGGTGCTAAAGCAGTTGCAAATATCGTCATCGCCTAAGTTATATTGTCCTGACACGGGGTCAAGTCGATTAGAAGCGTCATTGGATTTCAGCGAGATTGTATGTTTTCCCTCGCTTCCATTCTGTTGCGCATCCATTCGGCAGTTTGACTGTTTTTCTTCCAATCAACTAATCTGTAATTATAATCTATCCCTTGTCTGTAATATCCCCGCCCTTACCCGTCACGGCGTTTTGGCAACGTGTCCATCACATTTCGGTGCTATGTCTTTTGTTTTCCATTGAACTGAACACGGGATTGGCGTTATTTGTGAACATTGAAGTTCGATCGCTTTACGTTGTCCATTCTGTAGTGACACAACAAACTTTGAGGCTAAATGCGCAAGGCACTACTACTATCTGCCACCCATGTCTCGATACCACCACATGCCATCATAGCCACCGTATGATAAACCGCGCAGTGGCAGGTGATCTCTTATGTGAAAGTTACTACACGCGAACATTAATCAAGCGTAGGTATTCACGACTAAGGTGGCTTCTTGAACCATTTCGCTATGCATGTCTTTTGCCCTTTCATCCAATCACTGGATCTCACTGATTTGGCCTTTCGGTAACTCGCTCGACACTATACCAAAATTCACTTCACACTGACTCTAGTATAATATGGAATTTCATCGGTTCAGCCGATGCCGTCGATCGTTCACGTGGATGGTTGCATCAAGAGATGATTGCTCTTGCACTGCATGATAGGTTGGTCTGCCCACTAGTCAACATAGTCGCTCCAATTGCCAATATTTGTACTTACAACAAGCGCTCTAATCGATTCGTGGTCGGTAGAGATGCACCTGCGACTGTTCATCCATGGGTCTAGTCGACTCCCGTCACTGCAGCCTAAGCAGGATTACTTCTAGTTGCGTAGTACCGGGATCCACCAATTGATTCTGGTCATCAGACATCGTAGTGCCACTTTCTAGATCGCCTTATGCTCGTCTACCACCTCAGGTTTTTGGCGGATGCCATTGCAGCCATTGGCTAGCCTTATGCGTAGTAAAATAATGAGTCAAAGCTACCCAATCATCTTCGCTGAGCTGCTGCTGCTGCTGCCTACTGTCTTTTCAAATGCGATCGACAGTGGTGTCTACATTAGGAATCGCAAAATCTTTACTATAACGCAGTTATGATGCCAATGATTTTGCTTTTTACCATTCCTTTCGGTTTTAGCTTCTCTCCCTACATTTGTTCATGTTCATTGCTCTGGATTCTTAACATCATTTGTTGATTATTTCTACTCTGGCGACGTGAACCATGGCATCACATTTCCCTGTTTGAACCATGGTTGTTTATCCGAACCGAGCTGTCGCGGGGATGATGTTTTCGAACGCATCCTCGTCGTCCCTAGATAACTCCCAGGGGTCTATCTATCTCTCTGTTTTATGAAACGCGCCTTTCAATATTATCTCGGGAACTGTACTCCATCGATTGATTTGTAGGTGACGCAGAAATGTTACGTTTTCACTCTGCTTCTTGCCAGTTTAGCAACACCCACTGTCGAGCTTCCGGCGACTTCCCGCGCCTGAGCACGCGAGATGTGCATTTGCACATCGCGTCTCATCGAATTATTTTGCCCGGAGTCCACAGTACATTCTCTCTACTTTATTGGGGTTCGTCTTCTTGGCCGTGTGTGCTCCGTGCAGTTCACCGCTATCCTCTGGCCTTTCCCTCTTGTTGCTTTCGTTACTGTCACTATCGCGTAAACATTTAGTAAGTATTTTTGTTCGTCGCAATCAGCCGACAATTCAGATATGTCGACCAGCTATCCGGAAAAGCGCCAGACGGCCGTTTCGCCCTATTGGGGCTCATCAGTGGTGCGCATCCTTCGGTCCTCTGCGGAGGATCGAACCCATGACTGCTAGTGGCTCTTGCCAACTAGCCCGCAGCTTATGTAACTGCGCCATGGAGGACGGTTGATTGCGACGAACAAAAATACTCACCAAAATCTTTACATTCATAAGTAATACCAATTCGCCCGTACGGATTCCACAAAATGCTATGTCGATTCATAGCTGCCGTAACCGGGAAGTCCTGACGCCGGAAGGCCGACCGCTGTCATCTGCATGGCAGGTGCCTGCATGGCAGTGGAGGATGCGTCGGGCTATATCGCATTTAGCTAACAATTCACGGTAGTCAGATACCGTCCTCCATGGCGCAGTTGCATAAGCTGCGGGCTGGTTGGCAAGAGCCACTAGCAGTCATGGGTTCGATCCTCCGCAGAGGACCGATGGATGCGCATCACTGATGAGCCCCAATAGGGCGAAACGGCCGTCTGGTGCTTATCCGGATAGGTAGTTGACTTATTTGGATTGTCGGCTGATTGCGACGAACAAAAATACTCACCAAAATCCTTCCATTCATAAGTAACATTTAGTAAGCTAAGGACAGCGTCCATATTTACTCGTACAAAAGCATGATCATCTCTTCTATATATGCTGATCTGTTCTCATCTTTGAGAGAAAACACATATATTATTATCAGTACTATAAAGCCTTGGATTCTCTGATTTCAGACTTGCTCAGCTTCGATCTTCTGTTTACTCTGCACTTTTCCATCGTCCATTTTTTACACTCTCGTTCGACGGGATATTTAAACTTCCTGGTTCATTAAGTGTGATGTTCTCCACTGGCAGATGGTCCAATGCCAGCTACCAAGCGTCCACTTGTCCCTGCACCCCGAACCCTAACAAAGGGCATGTCTGCCTCGGTCTACGTTGATCGTCCCACTCGCAAGGTGTCAGCCACTAAGAATCCACCCGCAGCACCACGCAAGCGCTCAGCCTCTCCAAAATCGTCATCAGCTGTCCAGGTGTGTTTCATTCTGTTCATCACTTTATTTTAACGTAACTTAAGTAGTGCTTATACACTTTATTTGTCTTTCCGAAGTTTCGAAACTTCTTTTATCTTTCTGTTCCATAGCCTTTGAAACCTGCATCTATGGGCGCCTCTTCGGATTCTCTGGCTCTTCTGAAACCAAACGAAGTCCCTCTTCCTAACAGTGATGCGGTTGCTTTAGAACCTACCTCAGTTACTCAAGAAAAGGGCCCAGATGTCGATGTTATCGATGTTGGGATTTCTCCTGCGTCCGAATCTGTGGTTCCTATTTCTGACGCACCAGGCTCACCTGAGCATTCTGATACTGTCATCGCGGTCGAATCCGAAGCGACTCCAGATTTATCAAAACATGTGTTCGAGCCAAATACGGACGATATTTCTACTCTACCGCATTCTGTCCCTTTGAAAGCAGAAACTAAGGGTGCTGGAGAAGGCGCCTTATTGAACGAAAGCGAAGCAGCCATCTACCGTGCTAAGCTGTTTGAACAACGTCGTTTGGCTAAGGAGCGCAAGGAGCAAGAACAGCGGTATGTCGAATGTTGCTTCTGACTTCAAGCATTTAGACGTATTTATCTCATCCCCCCTTCAGTTTTTAGCCTCTTTTTATTCTGCGAAAACATCCAGTTGCATCTAGCTATCGGACTGTTGGACACATTTGTTAAACTCACTTTAGCCATATTTTGAGCTGGGTTTGCTGATCGTATTGCTACCCTTGAACACTCCATATTCATGTGTACTTCCTTCCATCCAAACTTGCTTGGTTGCAGAGTAATAGTGTTCACGTGTTTGTCTTATGCCTTCCCTATCTCGAATGCGATCCTCTTCTCTTCTGCATGTGCTTGTGCGTGCTTTCAGTGTCGCAGCCCATGCCCAACCGTTTGTGCGAACTCATAGCGGCCAACCTCAGTGCTGATTTACCGCCACTGTTGATCCAGATTAGCCTTTCCGTCTCTACCAATTACACATATGTTTAATTTCGATCGCCATATTATAGCAAGAATCTTTCTGGTTATTCACTCCTAAACTGCCTACTCTATGCGAGTTTGAGCGCACTGCAAGGAGACCTTGTTGTTCATTCCATTGCTTTTGTGTTGAATGAAACATCCAGTTTAACTTCGCCCACTCCACTCATCTCAGACGCACACTTATTTTCACGTTATTGTTTGTGGACTTTATCCTTTTCATAAACTACACTGCCGCCGGGATCCGTTCGTTTCCAGAAGGGGTTTTGGCTGATACCAGTGAAAAGTACTCGCCTTTGTAACACTTGACACCCGTTGCGTTTACCTTTACTGTTATCGGGATTTGCACTTTTTATAAAATACCAACACCTGCAGTGACCTCTACAAGTGCCCCTTCCTCTGATACCTGCCGTCATACCATATCATTCTTGGTTCCCTAGCGCATTCCGATAGATTATCAGCAGCACAAAAGGGGTTTCCACGCCATATTTGAACAGCCATTCAAATTCTTCGGGATGTATCATCTGATTCAGTTCAGCTGAATATACTGTATTTCGGGAGCAAGTAGAAATGTAAATCTCTCTAACTCCATCAAAATATAATCAAAAATGTCGTAAAATATATACGCCACCTGCATAGTTGTTTAATTTCTCATGTAGCATTTGAAAATGTCTGGCTAACAGTATGACTGGGCTCACCCATGCATAACGTCATTGGCAGTGTGCAATCGTTCTCTGAATCAAAAGTGACGCAGTGTAAATTCAACTTTTTGAATTACTGCACAGATTTGGCCTCCATGACTTGTTTTGACAGACTGCTCCAAGCATCCACCACTCTCCGTTCGAAGCACCGAGGGTGGAGAACTGGCTTCATACCCGACACCACAAGCTTTTACCATGTCCGCTTGTGCTGCGTGGCGTTCGCAAGTGAAGCAGCGGCCTCAACATAGGGAATTCGCAGACCAACCACAACCATATATATTTACGACACGAGTGACTAGTATATCGCAGCTTGCCACACTTTTCATCATTCCCTTTACTTTCTGATCGAGTGAATTATCTGCTCACACTGCATTGTATATTTTTTATTGGGTTCTCCCTGGTTCAGCCACACAATTTCATCGCTTTAAGATCTGTAGGTGTTTTCTTCTTTTTCTCTTTGTCATTCGGACATGGTCTCGCAGGTCTTCGGCGTGCCTTAGAGTGTAACTCTCTCGGGAACCCTACTTCTCGTCATTCAACAAGTGTAGTTTGACAGCAATAAATCGGAATACTTGTAGCTCGGGTGATCTGTTCAGATTTTGTTCTGTTCTCCGAGCTGAACAGTTTCGTTGCAGACGTTTCATCACCAGTCGTGGTGACTTCCTCAGTGCGTTATCACCACGACTGGTGATGAAACGTCTGCAACGAAACTGTTCAGCTCGGAGAACAGAACAAAATCTGAAGTGTAGTTTGACTGTGGGCTGCCACCTTGATACCGCATTCACTGCTTTTTCAAGGTCTGTTCCATCCATCGGTCCGGTCGTCAGCCCCGCTACCGGACACACTGCTGTATTCGATAATTTACCTATTCAGGATAGCTTTTGTCACCAGTATGCACCTGTTTGAAATCGCCTCATAAACTGGTTGGTTAATGCAGCGCACTGTCGATCTCTATTACAGCCAAGACGCACTCTGCCAATTGGAATTGCACCGTTGTTTGCTTCTGGATACTACGCGCCTGCGATTTGCTGCTATCGATTCAATCTGTCTTATGATGTTTGTGTTCACTCCTCACTGGATGGTATGCTAACTAGCCAAGTTGTATGATTCATGTGCACCGCAATCAACCATATTCGTGTGGTAGCATCGCTTTTACGATCGTTTCTGTGTTTACCTTTTCCGTGTTACCCAACGAGACAATAATTTCCCCACTACTGGACGCACTTCGCGCATCGGTCTGCACTCTCCCATCCCATTTAGCACGAAACCTGTAGCTCAATACTTCGGGTATCCAAATCTGTTATGCTGAATGGTTGGCGGACCACGGATGTGCATCGAGCGGTTTACATTAACGTGTCCTAGATCATGCATGACGAATACCCCCGATTGCACTTGCATTTCTGCTTTGCAACCGCTTAATTTCTTCCGCTATGTTTCGCTCAGCTGTTTTCCTTGTAATTGAAAGTTTGCTTTCCTGTTGGTCTGATACTGCACGAGTATGCCCGTCCACTTCCGAAACTTCTTCGACATACTTAGTAAATCGGCTGTGTATCTCTAATATTCTTGTCGACCGAGCTCACCTTAAAACAAACATTTGCCACTTTACCGACTCATTCCGCCACTGACCTAATCCACTTTGCACGATTTAATCTATATGTACACAAGAATCCTTTCATTGCATACTGTAAATGCTTTGTCCTCTAAAAGCTTACTCAACCGAGAGTAAGTAGACACGAATATCTAATTCATAAATTATGCCCATTCTGATGTCAAAAGGCAATCGCGAAGAAATTTCTTTCGATAAATCTCTCCAGGCAATTACAATTATGAGCTTCGTAATCATTTGTGCAGTAGCTATTGCTAGCGATGCGACACAAAGTCGTGAATGCTGCGCTCGGATGAACGGTGGCATTCTATGTCTATTTGAAATACCAGAAGTCAGGTGACCAGGCTAGGGTCACGGTAGGGTCAAACTCAGCATAACTGCACGCTGTTTGCACAGTTCCGGCTTCAGTTGCTTGATCACAATTGCTTCCGCTGTGGCCAGTAGGCGCTTCCTGAGTCCTTTTGTGCAGTGTTTTGCTGCTACATGCACTATTTTGAAGGCCTCTTTCGTTTGTATATAATGTCCACTTTCTACTAGGTGTTCTAGGATGGAGCTGTGGACATTTCTGGTGGTCCACAAACCTAACACCCCACTACGACCGGAGAATAATATGTATGGGTTTACTACACACTCAGTCGCCAAGTGGCTTGTGGAACTTCTCGAAACAGTACGTAAAGAATTGTCCAGTCACACTGCGAGCAACACATTTGCATTCGTTCATCTGGCAGGAAAGTTAAGCATAAAAAAATTGATGCTCTTCTTTGATGTAGTATCTCTTTTTACAAACGTCACATTGTTAGCAACGGTCAATTTCCTCTGTGAATACCTAACAGAAAACATTGTTCTTCCGATCTCGGCTCGTAATGTAAAAGAGCTGATTCTACTTTGCACGTTCAACAGTTTCTATTTCATGGAAAATACTATAGACAAATAGACGGAGTTGCTATGGGATCGCCCCTAGGACCGCTGCTTGCAGACATTTTTCTCGCAAAAATTGAACGCAGACCTATTAGACACCGTATCACATCCCTTGATTATTACAACCGACACATGGATGATACGTTTATGATTTGCGACTCTCATACTGATCACGTTCACCTGTTAAATCAATTTAACAACGCGCACCCATCGTTGAAATTCACTTGCGAGATTGAAGCGGACAGTAAGCTGCCTTTTTGGATGTTTTGCTGTGACGACGAGAGGACGGATCGCTTGAAAGAAAGGTTTTCAGCAAGCCAACCTGCGTAGGTCAGTACACGCCAATCAACGACCGTGATAAGGAAAGATGTTTTCCTCTCAGTGCCTTTCAAATTAAACATATTACTCGAACTTTTGAGTAAGAAATTGACTTCCGTGCTGAACCCAACGTATCCTGCCGCCAGAGTTCGCATTCACACCCAAACCGTTCCGCTCATCACCAACCGCCTAAAAGACAGAATTCTGACCCAGTCCGAATCCTATGTCCTACAACAATTCACTTGCACCCGTGGTGCGAGATATCTCGGACACACGACGCGAAGTCTGTGTACACGGATAGCGGAACATTGCCCTGCCTCATCACAGTGTGATATTACCAGAAATGTCCACAGCTCCATCGTAGAACACTTAGTAGCACAAAAGGACTCAGGAAGCGCCTACTGACCACAGCGGAAGCAATTGTGATCAAGCAACTGAAGCCGGAACTGTGCAAATAGCGTGCAGTTATGCTGAGTTTAACCCTACCGTGGCCCTAGCCTGGTCACCTGACTTCCGGCATAATGGTCAGTGGTAGTGGTTTCAAATAGACATAGATTGCCACCGTTCATCCGATCGCAGCATTCACGACTTTGTGTCGCATCGCTAGCAATAGCTACTGCACAAATGATTACGAAGCTCATAATTGTAATTGCCTGAAGAGATTTATCGAAAAGAAATTTCTTCGCAATTTCCTTTTGGCGTCGGCATATCTAATTGCCAAGTGTTGTCTGTTCCTGTCGCCACACTTCAACTGGTTTCTTGCTTACATGCACTCTTCTGGTAAAGATAGTCGAGATTGGAGTCGAACTCAGCGCGTTGTGATAGCCTCTACCAGTTCAGTTCAGTTACATAATTATGATCCGGGCATCTAAAATCGATGGATCCAGTAGCCACGGCTCACGTTGCAAGATAACAATCATTGAAGACAACAATAAAGTGAAATTAAATGCAAAGAAAATACAAAAAAGTGGAATCAAGGTGGAGGCGAGTTAAACTGATTGGAATGGAATGCAATTTAACAG